TAGCATATGGAAAAATCGAGAAAACTCAACGTGGTTATGTCACGCTTGTCAGGTTTGTAGAGACGTGTTTAAAATGAATTAGGAATTGTCGAGTGGCAGCAGGAATAGCGTTTTCCGAGGAAATAAGGAGAACTTGGTAATCGGATTTGAAATTGACAATAGAGGAAGAAGTTGGATTTTTGACAAAAATCGTATATGCAAAATATTATAATTGATCGTACAACTGACGGAATCCTTGGACCATTTCTCAATTATCCTATCATGAAGTTTAATCATTTTTCTGTTTGGTAAAATAATAAAATGTAATAGAAAACTCGTAATTTCTAATATAAATAAGGAAGAAACATATTTTATATATATTGATTAATAAAATTTGGAAATCTATCGTTTTGTATCAATAGAGACACAAATGGACAAAATATCCCCAAATAGATATGGTGGAGGATTAATTTAAAAAACTTATTACAAAGTAAAATAAACTAATCTAATTCTGATCAAAATCAATGTTTATTATATCTTTTGTATGTTGGGCAAACGATATTATTTCCAGACCCTTGAGACAGCTTTGGTAAGCTCAACGGCTTACGCGTAGTTTATTTTACGATCCATTCGTCAGAAGGAAACTCACGCGCAAATATTCGACCACGCTTTTAAATTATTCTACCCTGCGGGAAGCGCAGTTTTCCGCACCCGTTAAACCGAACCCCGAAGATAGTTCCGGTCGATATTTCCACTCGGAGTACCTTTTCACACGTTCCCAGCTTCGTTAGTAAGGATCTGGGAACTTCATCGCCGGAACCCTGGACCGACCATCGGACAATTAAGGAAACGAGGGCTCGTTTCTTATCCTCATGGGGCAATAACACACCGATGGCGCTTCATTTGTCCACGATATAAAGAACGTTTCTTTCATTTATGATTCAGACATTATTCGTTTCTGTTACAACCATATACATACTTCGATTTTATTTCTTTCGAAGTAAGCAGCTTTTAGATTGCTCTGCTATCTAAACTTTTGCTATCGGAACAACTCTTTATTATCATTTATGGAATATAATGGCGTAAAAAGATAGTTTTTCATTTCTAAATGGAATGATTATATATGTATATCTTTGTATTTCATTAAAGGATTCAAATGGCTTTAAAGTAATGGGAAGTTAACAGAAGAAAATATCGTAAGAAAACTATAAATAAGTTCGTGTAATTTCTCTCATTCATCAATCAAATAACACATATTTATAGAAATTCTATATGATTTATAACTACAATATATCTAAACTACATACCTAAAAAAAATTAATGTTTCTTCATATGTAGAAAATTAATGTAATTAAGTGGTAGTGTATTTTAGTTCCTAATTCTATCTGCTACACGTTTATTGCAATATTCGAAGAAATACAGAGCGACCTAACCTTCTATAAATATTTTATAATAAACTATATGCATATTATGGAATATTTATATATTAAATAAAATATTTTATAAGCTATTTTCATTTGTATATATATGTATTCATGAACATATAAGTAATTGTTTTGACATAAGTATTCTTTCCAATAAATATTTTCTGTTCGAGTTGTTATTCATTGCAGCACTCTGTATACTAATCCTATTTATAAGACGCGGAATGATATATGTACACAACACAATGAACACAATCGGAAGCGAGATCTTAATCTTCAAATTTCTCTGTCTAGTTGTAATTCTAATATAACCTGAATGTGTTATTGTCACGGTGATACATTTCTTATTCACTTCGACGTACACACGAGACATAAACATACAAGTTACATTGTTTATTTTTTCAATCGACCAATGTAGATGCTTCAAATGTGATACTCTTTTAAAAATAGTAACAAGGTCGAGCGTAAGAAAGCAACGAAAGAAACAAACAGTATATACACAGTATACACAAAGGATTTCAATTCTTTTTCAATAACATGCAATCTTACTTATATAAGCTTACTCAAACACATTAAATTTTAGCTAATATAATATATATATATATATATATATATATATATATATATAAATATACCATCATTAATGGTGTCGTATTCATCAGGTAACTAACTATAAATAAATTTGTAAGAAAATAAGATAAAATATTGTTCAATACCGGACAAAATGGCGAACTGGTGATCGTGGATATGGAAGGAATATGGAACGTGGAGTACTACGGCTTGGAGAGACGTAACTCGTACTACATTGCACATTAGTCAGTAACTTATTCAGAATAAGACGTATTTTCACACCTCTCGAATAAAAACTTTCGTAAATATGATTCACTGTCAAGTTTAACATAGGCGAACGACGTGACTGGCTTGCCTGAGAACTCGTGTAACAGTGAGATTATTGGCGCGCTTTTCTAAGTTCGGGGCCCCTCGGCTATAGTCGGACGTGACGTCATCGAACTTCGGATTCCTCCGGATTTCGCATCGTAGAAAATGATAGGGCGTTAAATGCACAGTGGCTTATATTATTTAATAATATTCGAAGATTTATCGTACAGGATTGTTATGAACTGTTTAGAATATTTTCATTTCATTAATACGAGATTTCATTATAACGAGACACGACTGTCATGATGATATTGATAGGATTGAAACCAGCGTGAATATTTATATACAAGGTACAACCTAACCCCAAACATAGTAAAAAATAAACACAAGGTATGAATAGTAATTTTAAATGTAAATTTAAAAAATGATCTTGCTGAATATTGAGACCTATTAATATACAGAACGACTTTTACGATCTCTGCAAAATGTATATTTATGCTAAATATCTTATATTATAGTTACTATTGGGTTGGCAACTAAGCGATTGCGAATTTTGTCATTAGGTGGTATTGACAAAATCCGCAACCACTTAGTTCTCAACCCAATATGCATACTTTTAGATTCGTTCCCAACTTTATTTATTTTAAGTTAAAATTATTATATCTGTAAAACTTATATAAATTTAATTGTTAACAGTAAATTATCAAGTATCTGCAGATCTACCGGTATTTAAAATGTATAATTAATTGGAATTTGAAGGAAAATATACTTCAACAGTTTGCAACTTTCATAGTAACATTGTCCATGCACATTGAAACGTGGTACGAGATTTAATTAATGCATTACTTCGTTTAATTAATATTAACGTACGTAAATTTTCAGTTATGAAACAGCAAATAATACAACGCTAGCGAAATCCTTAACTGATATTATATTCTGTCATGTTTGAATGTTTTATATGAAAAATATAGTTTTGAGAAGAACGAATGCAACGACCCAAAACAAGTGGAGGGTCACGGTAAAGTTATTTCATTTTTAATTTTATCTTGGTTATTGCATTAGTAGAATTGTAGCTGTGTAAACCATTGATTTAACGAATATTATACTGAAAGACAAATATATTTTAGGTTACTTGCTACTTGCAATTAACGTCATCAATTATTATTCTACGATAATTTGACCCATCTCTTCATTTTCTTCAAACGATAATGTTACAAATATTACATAAAAGCATTTCGTATTACAAAACCTTGGTAATCGTTAAGTGTAATTAAGAACAGACGTATTCATTTGATATTGAAAATAATTTTTACTTAAAGCTTCGATAGAGGTAAGATTCAATCGTAGAATTTATCTTGAAAAAAAAAACGAGACATTGATACTATTATCGTGAAGAGAAAACCTCCCGTGGCTTAAAGCTCTTTCACAAAGCTTCGAGAAACTCATTTTTCCGAGCTTGTACGCGGCTATCCGACCAGTAGAGATTTCCAAGCTCGATAACTTCTTATTCACATCATTCAGTCACTCTGAAATTCGTTATTGACATTATAATAAATTCATGATATTGAAATCTCCCTTTTTCATGTGTTAATCTAGATGCCCGTGTAAAAATGGAAATTCTCTAAAAGGGGAAGTGATCATGATTAATACGTAAAAGTGTAAAAATATACGAAATGTACACTGAATATGAAAATATACAGAATAAAATATTCATTACGATATTCGGTAATCGAGACGAATTTTTGCTTATGTTTAACAAATAACAAATGATGAGGAACTATTCCATTGAAACTGTTGGTTATACCAATGTATTAGATAGATAGACAAATTTTGTCGGTTCTTGCATTACATGAAATAAAATATGATGGTGTTCAATAGAAACTAATTCTACAGAGTAACTACAGACGTCATACTCCAATAATATATAAAAGGACGATGGCTTTTTGTTTATTTTATGCCAATAATCGAAGTGAGGAAATATCAAAGAATGAAATCATGTGTGTCGTCGTACGAGTTCAAGAAAGGTAGAGGTACAAGCTTGCAACGGCATTTATCCAGCGTATGGTAAAGCTATAAATAAAAGAACATGCTAGTGATGGTTTATTTGTCATCGCCCTGAGAATATTTCGCTTCAAGACCAATCGTAGCTAAATGTCAAACGTACTTACTGATGACTTCATAAGCTCTAAGGACTAACAATTCTCTGCAGAGGGATCAGTTGAGAAATAGATGGAAAGGAGTCGTAAAATTAAATTGTTAATACGAAGTATGAGGTCACATTTTTTAAATAATGGAAAAGTTCGATGCAACTTAACTACGATCAACACTAATACAGCGAACAATAAAACATTAACACAATGCATTTTCTTATCGAACTTAATATGACTGTATAATAAGCAAATGTAGCCTAAAGCTACCGCAGCTACCCAAGGTTTATTTGAAAGAAAATTGAAACGAAGTAAGTATGCATAGTGTTTGAAGAATAGTATGAGATGCATTTGTTCCATTCACGTGTAAGACTGCAGAAATGAGAAGTTGTGAACCCGACGAAATTAAGCATGAAACGAAAATTTGCTTTGAAAATCAAATATATGGGTATAACAGTAAGGAAGGTAAGGTAGACATGTACAAAAATTGATATCAGAAGTTATTATAGTATAATGGAAGAAAGTAAGAGATGAATTAAAGAAAATATTATATTACTTAATACCTTTTTTGGAGGCAGGAAATCTACAAACTTTTATTGATTGGGAGAAATTAGACAGGAAGGTACATTAAACTGGTAGGAAGCTATAAATTATGTATATTAAACCATATATGAATTTACAAGGATCCTTTTAACAGGTTAATTCTTTCCCGTCCTTGATGTTCAATGTCTAACGAAGGAAATTATTCATGAAGCGAGATAAGAAGTAGTTATGAATTAAAACCATGCGTGTGCGATTTTATTCCTGTGGAAGAAGTATTATATGTAGAGACGAATAGAATGTCAGAGACGCATGCGATGAATGTAAAATAATCCTCGCATCTATTTGAATAAGAAATTTTCTGCAGGACTTGGCTAGATTATGACTGACGCAGTTTCTTTTAATTTTCAGAAATATTAAATCATATACTGCAAAAATCAAATAGTTTTGCCTTTCTAGAAAAATAATTTATAATCTACTTGTCATATTATACACTTCAACGCTATTTATATAAATTTATAATCTTCACAACCTACAATTTCTTATAATACAATAAAGTACAAAATATGTGCCAATAAAAACGAATATAAATACAAATGTGATATGTTAGTATCAGGAATGCATTATATTCGAAGCAAATAACCTCTTCTAGCAGAACAGAATATAGGTACGTAATGGTACAATAAGCTTGATAAAATATTATTCTTCAAATCAACATTAATTGCAACGTAATATTTTCCCAAGCCATTCAGTTTTACCGAGTCACTAACAAACGTTTCGTAATGGAAACAATCGGAATTGAACGACGCTCATGCATATCATGCATATTCAGGACGTAGCGCGATAAAAATGACGAAACATCCCCGGTTCGACGTTACTTATATTCCCAGTACGTCCTACGACGATATATCAACGTCGCTACACCGTTCAACGAATTTTTCACGCGGAAAATTGCTTCCCCTTTTACGCATCTTCCCGATGTTCTTCACGGTGCTTCCTATTTCCAGTCACATAAATACCTTCGCGACCGAATCAGCCATTACTCGAGCGAAACTACTGGAAGCACATCTCTGTCTCACGGTTAGAAGCAGAGTCTTTGCTGACTAATTTACTATCCCTTTGGAGTAAGCTTTATGGATATTTGAAGTCATCTCGCTCACACTCGTCCTAAGGCGTATACTCTAGATCGTGCAAAGATGAAGATGGGCCACAGTATGGAATATAGCATAGAGAGTGTGTGTGGGGGAAGCATGAGGGATATCCACGATAGCGTCGTTGGTGAGGCATGACGAAGCAAGGGTTTGCCACTCGAGGTTGGAGCTAGTGTCGAAGGGGAGTTGGAACGGTTCGTTGGACGCGGTGAGACTCCATATACTTCCCTCTGTGAACTGAGGTTTCCGCGAGCGTAACGCTACCGTGTAAAACAGATGTAGCTGCGTACTGCGTTTGAATTTGAAATGTTCCCTACTTCAAGTCGTAATATGAAGGGGATTTACGAAAGGCGTCTAACCGAGGTACTCGAATCGAGGATTTTAGGCGGCCGACAGAGAATATCTGAAGCCTCTGTATTGGTAATTACGTGACCCAGGTCGATTTATGTCTGACCTAAATTAAATCCTTCCAAGCGTAAATTTATCTATCGGTATAAGCGGAGGAACGCGACATGTGGAGTGTAAAATACATTCTGCCTTTAAAGGGTTGTTCTGTAGAAAGCGATAGAAGCAAGAGCACTGTCACGTGTCGGTAGATAAAAGATTAAGTTCTTCTGCCATGTATATTAGAGTACATTAACGGGGGAATCTATAAATGTGACACAGGAATCGAATTAAGGACATTACACTATAAATAGATATTCCGAAACAAAAATATATTACAGCACGCGTGAAAACCGTAATTGATATTAATCTACCAAAGCACTCTGGGTAAGCAGAAACTATTTTTGCAACTAGTCTATCGAATTTCAAAGCTATCGCTCTATTTCCCGTAAATTTTTCGACGAACGATAGGTTCAAAGTTTGTCACGTACGACGAGCAGCGTGCTCGCAGCCACATTGGAAAAAAGTTGAAACGTACGTATCGTTTTCGCTTCGGAACAGCAAGCATCGTCGTTCTAGAACGATGCTTACGAAAATTTCGATAAAAGCTAACTGTTCGTGGTATTTTGCTTTATTGGTGAATCGGCGGCAGAGGCGACGATCAAAGGGACGACTCGTCGATCGATCGACCGGTAATGCCTATGGGAGTGAAAAACTTAGTCTCTGTCGGCCGTCTGCCGAGTTCGGGAATTAATTTCACGAGAACCAGATTAGCCCCGACCGGCGGACGCTCGGTTCCACTTGGATGTACCATCGAATGATCGAGTGCCGCTTGGCTTAAATCACTGCCGATTACGCTGGTACCGCGATACTGCTCCTCCTGTAACGGCTAAAGTGCGCCGCATAACACGTTATACAACGATTATAGCTTCGACAGCATGTAATGGCGAGGCTTGATTTACGTTAAAGGTTCAATCACGGCCCATTTTCATTGCACCGTCCGCCCCCCCCCCCCCCCCCCTCTCTCTCCCTCTCTCTTTCTGCAACTTGCAATAAAGTTATTAGCATAAAAAATTTGTCCATCAAACGTAGGAAACGCTGTCATTTTTGTCAAGATTGATGAGTTTATAGAAATTTAACAAATTTAACAATCTAAAAAGTAATACATTAAAAAGATACATTAAAAAGAAACTCAACCGTGTTATATATGCAAATAAGACTAATGATAAAATGTTAGAAAATTATGTTCCTCGAGGGACCTCGTGTCATGCGGGAGAATTCAATTTCTGTTTCTCATTGAGTTGCTATCCTTCGAAATATGTACCGAATTGTTCGTTATCCGGTCGTTCTGTTTGCATTAGACCTAGAAGGGGAGTTAAGGACACTGACGAAATAGAGTTAATCGCGCCAAATTTACATAAACCAAGAGGATCGGGTGGAAGAAGATGTTAGAGCGCGGTTAGTGGGCGGATAACTATAGCGACCAACGCGAAACATTTTATCGCAACACAGTGCTGAAACTATGGAAGTACATCGGCGCGAAACGTTGGAAGTGTCGAGAAAGTCGATAGCTGGGATCAGATTCACTGCCAAATTTAAATTACATTTGGGAAATTCACTCGATCAATGACGCAGTTTTACAGGGGAGACTGAACGATTGTTAATTTCAATTAAATCGAACGTGACAGACGCCTACAGATGGAACGGAGCATACTGCTAAAGAAGGGAGACAAGAGAAGACAAAGAATACAATTAAATGCTAAACATTTCGCATTACGCGTTTGGAAATAAAGTTCAGTTTTCAGCCCGAAGAGATGGGAATAATTCGCGATAGAAAAAGAGAATGTGGAAGGGTGTTATGAGGCTTAGTGAGTGTCATAGACGTCGAGGAGCAAAGAGAAATCACGATGGCGGAAGTGACGCGTTGAAGGGAAAACTACGATAATGAGAGGAAAAAAGGAAACGAGCAGATGAGAAAAAAAGAATCTCGGTAGGATCGTGGAGCGCAAACAAATAATTGGATGACTGAAATGGGAATGAACTTTTCTAATTATTCATGCGGTTGCGTGTTGCTCGTCTGCGTCGCTTTAGGAATTAATCATTTTTATTTCCATTCGCCGAGCGCACAAGCGATTAACTCTCTTCTTGCGCGTCCTTGTGCATTGCTCTATTTCCCGTTGAAAATTCCCAGACTCGTTTTATGGCGTTCCGAGTGAGCGAAATTTCTAAAAGGTTACGGCGATAGTGGCGGGTTACCTGCCAGCGTAAGATGGGAACAGTAAAGGTGAAAGGGTCAAACGAGGGATAGATATCTATCTAGAGACGATGTTAAGAAAGACGAACGCGAGAAGATCGAACGATCGAATATCGCATAAACGAAAACGTGTAAGGACAGACTTGAATTGTCTTTTCCATTCTTGTGTTCCGTAACTTCGTCGTGCGTAAAAAAGGTACACTATATGATGATATATGATTAATATACAACGTGTCACAACTTTACCAGCCAAATGTTGATGGAATTTTCTATAGGCATGAATAAAAGAACATGTTGCATAGGTATAGGATGTTTGCCATGTTCATTAAGAAATACGAAATATGAAAAGAATATTGTAAGACAAAGATAGATCCATTATAAATGTAATCGTTGCTGTTAATACGAAGTTCATTTTAACTTTGCTTCGTCTCAATGAATCGCTCAACTCTTTGTATCAGTTCGTCATGCATATCGATACTTGTTTAGTATATCGCTTTTACAAAATTACTTACACGTAAAAATATAGAGGTACGGAATTAAGAGGAATATTCGCTGACCCAGAAATTATTCTCTCTGTATTTTCAATTTTTGTCAAAAATAATTCCAGTAAAGCTTCAAACGATCTATGTTTATGCAACATCTTCTTAAATTCATAATTCTATGGAACTTCTTGATAAAATTTGATCGAAGAAACTGAAACATCTGGTAGCGTATAAATATATAATACATAATTATTATAAGCATAGTATATAATATATACAGATATATAATAATGCAATTTTCTACGCAAGATCTTTCGCTAAAATATCGAAATCTACCGTCTGTTTCTCAATGTATACGCCAAACACCTGGTTCACGATCAATCACCGCAATATCACTGTTTAATCCTAAAACGAAATAATCGTTCCATGCCATCGAGCTTTCTCCCTTTGGTAAACCGACAATCGGCCGCATTGGCATTTGTAAATTCACTTACGACGGTGCTTCTATGTTAATCAGTGTGCCCGAAACAATCTCCCTCGCTTCGACCAAACATCCCCTATCGAAGTAGTGTTCGCCGTAGGGTAATCGGTGATCCCTACGACTTTTCTCCCAAAGAAACTGTCTTCGATGTTTACCTGGGGGTGAATAGTACTCACGAGGGTAAGGAAACTCGTCGAATTCGCGGATCGAAGAGACAAAGCGAACGAAGATACGAGCGGAACCAATGACAGAATGAACGAACGGACGAACGAACCAGCAAACAGAAGAACGACAAGGATGACAGAAATGAGAGTAACGATAGAAAAAGAGAGAAATCTGGGAACGGTGAAAGGGAGGGAGAAGAATGATCGACGTGCAATAAGATGGAAAGAGAAGAGAAGAGAGGGGAGAGAGAGAGAGAGAGTAGTGAGAGGGCGACGTAGCGGGTCGACAGGAGGGTTTGGAGCGGCGTGAAGAGCGAGAGGAGGAAACTCGACGAGAGGTGGAGGTTTGGAATGGTTCAGTTGTAGCGGTACCGCGGCTCAGGTCGCACGTGTGTCTCCGTTTTCGCGTAGATCGCGTTCGCGTGTTGGCGTTCGCGCGTGTATCATTCGCTCCGTCCTGCTCGCTCCCTTGCTCGCTTCGCGTCGATCTCTCCCTCGTGGCGTCATTCGTGGGTTCAGCCGGCACGTCCCTCTTGTCACACGAGTCTGCCGCGTGACGTCTGACCAAGCACGCGGTTCTTCCACTCGCGCGTTGCGCACCTCTTCCGTTCAAAGTTCCCTATCGCCGAACCGCAATCATCGTCACTTCGATGGCGATGCAGAATTTTTCAAATGTGATTTGATCACAACTCAATCAACGAAGAGAAATCGAGGATAAAGTTTGTTTACCGGTGGTTGGATTTTGACAGGATGGATCGTTTGACGGATTGCCGGGACGACGAGTAACGTGATGTAGAAACGGAGAAGTCAGTCACGTTGAGTCTGCTGTTTGCGAAATTGCGAACGGATTTCCGTGCGAACTGTCGAATAGCGAAAAGGATAATCCTGGACGGGTTATTAATAAAAAGTGACGCAGCCACAGGAAGAGGAAATGCTCGATCGAAGCGGCAACGACGCGGATAATCTTGGATAAAGTATAAATAAATATTATCGAGAAGGCGACCAAACTTGCGTAATCCTCGCGGCTAGAGTTTTCAGGCTCGAGCAGGTGCGTGCGACGGGCGCATCTGGTTAAATGACACCTGTGCGAGCGTAGTCGTGTAGACGCGTGAAACGATCGACGAATGATCGTCTCTGGATCCCGATAATCAGCGAATGCGAAGTGATCGATCGTTGTATGAAAAGGTGCGCGCCGTGCGCGTGCCGGCTTCGCGAGAGTGCCGGCGCGCC